CACAGACCCCAGGTATTAGATGATTTCTGAAGTCTGTCCAGTTCCCCATCCTGGAAGCCTATGAAGTTCAAAAGCATTGTTCAGCAGAGAAGAGTACAGGATTATTATTCCTTTTTTTTCCCCCCCCCTTAGGCAATTGGGATTAAGTGACTTGCCCAGGGTCACACAGCTAGTGTCAAGTGTTTGGTCTGAGGCCAGAGTTGAACTCAGGTCCTCCTGACTCTAGGGCCAGTGCTCTATCCACTGCACCACCTAGCTGCCCCTTAGGGTTACTATTCCTAAAGGCCTTGAATGGATGTTTGGGGAAAGGATTTGGTGAAAGGATGTTTCTTTGAAATAGGACACAAGATGGAGTCAACCAAATCAGAAATTCCAGACTTACCATTCACAGGCACATTCTCTTTCTGTTTCTATCTCTCTCTCTCTCTGTCTCTGTCTGTCTGTCTGTCTGTCTGTCTCTCTCTCTCTCTCTCTCCTTCTTCCTCTCTCCTTCCTCCCTCCTTCCCTCCCTCATTTCCTCCCTCCCTCTTTCCCTCTCTTCCTCCCTCTCCTCTCCTCCTCTTCCCCTCTCTCTCCCTCTCTTCTCTCCTCTCTTATCTTCTCTCTCTCTCTCCTTCTCCCTGCCTATCATGTTTTGAGATTCTCCCTTTCTACACAATGAAAGGTTAAAGTCTACTGTTTTCTCCAGGAAGTATTTTGAGCCTCCCTAAGGAGCCCAGTAATGCCTTCCTAGAATCCTTCACTGCTAGCTGTTCTCCTGGACTGCTTTACCCTGGGAAGATACGACATGCTTGAGTTGAAGTGAGAAGGGAAAACAGAAAGAAAAAAAATGAAAACATTTAAAAGTAAAATTCTTCTACTAGTGTTTTTCTGCATTCCTTTGGCTGCTTGAGATGTTGCTGGTGCTTCAATAAGTATTGTCTTCCTCAAAGCCCTGCCTCCCTTTCTATTTGATCTGAAGGAGGGTGTTGAAAGCTGCCTTCATGTCACCACAGTTGTGTGTGTCTGCATCAGCTTGTATCATATGACAGACTAGCCTTTGCAAATTCCCAAGGGTGGGAAGGGAGAAGAGAGGAATGCTTGTGAGGTAGATCAGTTCCTCTGCACGTCCTTGGGAACAGCACCAGAAGGAATGTTTTTAAAGAGAACAACAACATTTGGGATCCAACAGAGCAGGGTGCTAGAAGCCTAGGTCCTTCTGTTACAGTCACTGCCCCTAGGAGGGGCAGCTGAACACGGAGGGTCATTGCCACTGACCTCCCCTCACCCCAGGTGATAATATGGTCCTCCTCTACCGCATCAAACAAACAAAGTTAGTAACACTCCAAGAGGCAGCTCGACATAGTGCTCTGGACCTTGGACTTGGAGTCAGGAAGGACTGAGTTTAAATCGTTTCTCAGACAGACGCTCAATGAGCTGTGTGAACCTAGGCAAATGACAGTCTCTCAGTCTCAATTTCCTCTTCTTTAAAATAGGGATAAGGATAGTGCCTCCCTCACAACATTGCTGTGGGGATAAAGTGAGAATGATTATAAATTGTTTCACAAACCTAAAAGCATATACATGTTAACTATTGTTGTTATTTTTTTCCTGTTCATTGAGAAAGAACACAAATAGATGACATTTCCTCTGGGTGTGTACCTGAGCCCCCAGAGCCCCCCGGGGAGCCACAACAATTCACACAACAGAGTTAGGACCTAGTGATACTCAATTGTACTATGAACTACTTTCTGTATCTCACCTCAGAAATGAAGAGGTATTGTCCAAAGACCACTGACTGTCATCACAGCATTAGGTTCAAATTATGCCTCCAAAGTATATTACTTAGGTGACCTGGGGTGGGTCAGTCAGTCAATCACTTAATTGTTGTGGGCTTAGTTTCTTCAGGTATAAGTGTTAACAGGATTTTTACTCAGCCAGTCCCTAATCTGAGAATGACTAAACAGCAGGCCTGAGACAAAGTGTCAGTAATCAGGTAGTGGCTTAATTAATTAGTTTTATTTATGAGGAACAGATTTGCAAATAGGGAATTCTCCTGATCAGAATTCCACCTTGCTAAAGTGAAGACAGAGATTAGATACATAAATTACAATGGAAAGGGGTTGGGGCGGGGAAGGTGGATTACAAACAACTATTCCCCAGGGCCAGAGTAATTTCCCATGGCAAGCCCACAAGTGGAAAACCATACAACAATTCTGGTGTCCTGTGGGAGAAATTATTGCTCAAGTTTTTGGGGGTCGTTACTTGGTGGGTCATAGGATTAGAGTTCTGTGATGGGAACAGTTCTACAATCTTTGATTTGCTTCACTTACAATGCACAGGGTACAAGAAGGCAGTGAGTAGAGCGTTGTCAAGGGATTGATTGATCATTTCAAGCTGCATTGTTAATTGTGACTCCTGAGCCAGAGAGGTAGCTCTTGAGAAATCTAAATTATCAGTATATTCATTGAGAAACTGAAACCATGAGGAGGAAAATATATATAGCTAGTAGATGATGAAAAGGCAGAATGTTGAGTCAGGTCTAGAAAACAAACTTTTAAGTGCCAGGCATTGTATCGAGTGCAGTCCAGTGCTCCTTTAACTGTACTATGCAACTTCTGAGGTTGGAATGTTAAAATTGGCTCAAGATAGTTACCAAATGAATCAGGGTTAGGACTCAGATGCATTAAATTTTAATCTATGACTCAGACCAGTTCAACATGTTGCCTTTTCTTATATGAGCAAGTTTTATTCTTTTTCACATTTATCTTCTGAAGTCAATCTCCCACATAATCTCTCTTCTTTATTATGTATGTAATATGTGTAATTAATAAAATGAAGGGAAAATAGATTGATTTATCCTTTTAATGTGCTGTGAGTTGCAACTCAGGAGTACATTTGACCTCTATTACTAAAAGACAGAGTTATTGAGAATTGGTTGCATGGCCAGATTCAAAAGAAGGTGTCAATGATTCATTGTTAATGTAGCAGGAAATCTCTAGTGGAATACCCCAAGGTACAATGGTTGACCCTGTGTTGTTTAATGTTTTGTTTTGTTTCGTTTTTATCAATGACTTGGATAAAGACATTGATGGAAAACTAGTCAGATTTTCATATGACCCAAAGCTGGGAGGAGGTTGGCTAGCTAACTCCATAGATAAGAGAATCAGGTCCCAAAAAGACCTTAAGACATTAGAGTATTGGGATGAATCTAATAAGATGGGATTCAATAGGGATAAAAGGGCAGCTAGGTGACAGTGGATAGAGTACCAGGCCTGGAGTCAGGAAGGCTCATCTTCTTAAATTCAAATCTGATCTCAGATATTTACTACCTGTGTGACCCTGGGCAGGTCATTTAACCCTGTTTACCTCAGTTTCCTCATAATAAATGAGCTAGAGAAAGAAATGGCAAACCACTCTAGTATCTCTGCCAAGAGAACTCCAAATTAGGTCCAGAAGAGTCAGACACATCTGAAATAACTGACCTGAAACTGAAATAAAGATAAATGTAAAATCTTACACTTGGGTACAAAAAAATCAATTTTACAAATATAACATGGGAGGAGAAGAGTTAGAAAGCAGTTCTGAAAAGATTGGGAGGTTTTAGTTGTGTGTAAACCCAATATGAATTTAGAGTGTGACATGAAGGCCACAACTCTGATGTAGAATGGAACTCCATAAAGAGAAGCATAGCATCCTTGAATCCAGAGATGGCAATCCCACTGTACTTTGCTCCATCAAAACTTAAAATGTGTTCAGTTGGGCACTACAGTTTAAGAAAGGATATTAATAGATTAGTGTCTAGAAAGCTAGTGTCCACCAATCAACACAGTGGAGTCCATGTCCTATGAGGATTCGTTGAAGGAACTAGGAATGTTTAATATGGAGAAGACTGGACAGCCATCTTCAAGTATCTGGGGTAGGGGGAGGGAGAGGTTTAATTCTTTGGCCCCAGAGGGCAGAACCAGGAAAAATGGGTAGAAGTTACAAAGAGGTCAATTTAGGTTTGATCTGGGGTTGGAGATGGGGGCAGGAGGGAAGGGGGAGCCTTCCTTCCTAACAATTAGAGTTGTCCAAAAAGTAAAACGGACTGCCTTAAAAAATGGATGGTTGTGGCCTTTAGGAGGATCTTCTTTTCGTGTATAGATTGGTCTCTTCCATTTCTCAAAATTTGTGATCCTACGAACATTTTTAATTTTATAGATAAGGAAACTGAGTCTAAGTAAATTGAGGCCTAGTGACTTGCTCAAAGTTATACAAATATTTAGTGGCAGCTAGGTGGCACAATGCATAGAGTGCTGGGCCTGGAGTCAGGAAGACTCTTCTTCCCTAATTCAAATCCAGTCTCAGACATGATCTGTGTGAACCTGGGCAAGTTACTTAACTCTGTTTTGCCTCAGTTTCCTCATCTGTAAAATGAGCTGGAGAAGGAATGGCAAACTACTCCAGCATCTTTGCCAAAGAAAACCCCAAAGAGGGGTCAAGAAGAGTCAGATGTGAAAATGTCTGAAACAAAACAAATAACAGAAAACAAACACAGGCCACCCGACTTCTAATCTAGTGCTCTTTTGATTATTCTGATCTCCCCTGTCTATAAAATGGCCTAATATCATTTTGCTTGCCTACAAGTAAGGGAATAGGAATCAAGAATACAGTGTCCTTTAAGAGTACTGAATTTAGAATGAGAAACACCCAAGCTCAGTTGCCAGTTCTTCTATTTAATATCTGACTGATTGCATGGAAGCCACTAGAGTGAGGAAGGAGCTTTGACAGCCAGAAATCAAACTGGGGTCTTCCAACTCTAAATCCAGTGATCTTTCCACTACATGCCATGCTCTGACTATGGGCAAGCCAATTCAGCTCTCTGGGACTCAGTTTCTTCATTTGTCCAACCTAAGAGTCTTATTAGATGATTTCTAAGCTGTCCTCCAACTCTAGATTCTTCAGGCCCCTTCCAGATCTCAGACTGATGTCTCTGTGATCATTAGTGATCATGTGTTAATTTTGTTTTTGTTCCACAGAAGGGATTTCCTGGGAACCAAGGAGGCCTCCCTGCTTTTGATGGCCATGTTTCTCCTTGCTGTGTTTTACCATGGACAGCAGGTAATGGGAACATGTGCATTCACCTCCAATTTATCAACTTTCATTTCAGGTTCTCTTAAAGGGATCCATTGCTCTTTGCTAGTCATGATTATTATCTGCTTAAGTAAGTTATGGCCTTTAATAAACAAAATATAATAAAGACCAACATAGAAACCAACTAATTAAAATTATTTTGTACACAATATATTTTGAAGAACCATTTAACCTCCATTACAAAGAAGTGTCCATCTAAAAATGGGAATTCTAATTTGTCCCAGAGGCAATTAGTTCTTACTCCAAAGTTACGGTTGTTTCCACATCACAGCATTGACTAAACTAGTTCCTGGGATCTTTGGAATTTTTTATTGTGTCAGCAGATTGTGCAGTAGCTGGTTGACTGAATCAGTGATGAGTCAATCAAAATCATTAGACATAAGTCTTCTTATTTCAGACCAAGTGACCCTTCCACTAAACCCCAGCTGCAGTTATGTAACCTTGATTCATAGAATGGACTTCAGAAGGAACTCATTTTCATTGAAAATGTTCTTAGAAAGTCCCCAGATGGTTATGTCATACAGTGGAAAGAAATGTTCCATTTGGAATCAGGGACCTAGGTAGGAAACCTGCCTCTGTAATTTACTGTCTGCATGACCATCAGCAAATGACTTAATCTCTCAGGGTTTCTGTTTCCTCATATGTCAAATTTGAGGATTGAATTAGCTGACCTCTAAGGGTCCCTTCCAGCTCTATTTCTGACTAGTGAATCAATTCCACTGGACAATCTGGTAAAATCCCTAAAGACCATGGGACACTCACATATATAACCATTGGTACAAAATGGATCATACAGCCCTTTAGCAGCCTAGTAAAATCTATGAATCCATTTTTAGAGTGATGGTTTGAAATGCATAAAATCAAATGCATAAGATTACAATAGAAAGCAATTATGCTAAAATATAGTTTTATATGGATGTATATATGTATATATACATGCATATAACCTATATATATATAATGTATATGTATACAATTTCTATGAGTATATATAATCTACATATGTATGTACATACGTGTGTGTATGTGTGTGTGTGTGTGTGTGCATGTATACTGTGTTTTAGAGAGAGACAGAGAGAGATTGAGTTCACAGACCCCAGGTTAATAACCCTCATTGAGGATCAGAGTCCATATGGGCCCACAAGGATCTTTTTCAATTTGAATTTGACATCATTGGTTAGGAGAGTTAGATTTTGACTCAACCATTTGAGCTGGCCAAAAGTGGATTGAGTTGACTTATAAGGTAGGGAGCAACCTCTCAATTAGGATATTCCAGTGAAGACTATATAGATATTTGATGGGAATATTTTTGAGGGTACCCCTTTTGGACCAGAAAGTCTCCAAGGCCCCTTCCTTGTCCAAGAATCCATAATTAAAACTGAATGAACGTTGTCATTGTCAAATCTCCCCAAATAATTGTCATAGGTTAAAAAAAAGTATACGGAGGGGTGGTGGGAGGCAGAAGCAATTGTGTGGATAATTCAAGCCAGGAATTTCCCAGCCCTCTGTTCTTGAGAGAAAGAAAAGGGAGGATAGGGTATGATTATATATGATACAAGTTTAACAATTAGTGACTTCAAGATCTAGTTTACCTGATAAATAAAATGATTATCGTGTCTGGTTAACTTCCTAAAACCTTAGTTTTAGGCTAAGACAATACTTTAAAAAATATAGGGATAGGGATAGCCCACTGAGTAGAAGTCTGGAGAATGGAGCACCAAACTCCTCCCAATGCCTTCCTTTATACAGAGTGGAATTGGACTAGGGTCTATGCCCCCACCGGGTATCTCCTTGTGTTCTATACTCCTAAACCCTGGGTTCTTGCCTCCTTTTGTGTGTTGTCTCCCTTATTTGATTGTCAGCTACCTAAGGACAGGGACTTTCTTTTTATTAATTGTATCTCTAGTACTTAGCATATAGTGGGCACTAAAAATGTTTATTGGCTTATTCATTGGGATAAGGACTAGATCCTGATGGTCCAGGTGAGAAAACTCCCTCTCTCAATGTAGGTCAGTACCTTCTCTGCAGTTCATGGTCTCAAGAGGGTGTCTGGAAGGCTTAAAGGTCAAGTGGCTTGCCCCCAGTCAGTGTGTCAGGGGCAGGAATTGAATGCAGATTGTCTGTGTTTCAAGATCAGCTCTCTTAGCACTTGGCCTCCATGTAAAATGTAAGGAATGAATCCCTCTCCAGTTTTCCCTACCAGTAATACTTCAGCATCTGCTTGAATATTTAGTGACAGGAAGCTCACTACCTCATTACACAGCCTACTCCATTTCCAATCAGCTCTAATAATTAGAAAGCTGTTTTCTTTTTATTAAACCAACATTGGCCTCCTTGTAACTTCTATGCATTGCTCCCAGGTCTGTTTTCCAAGAAGAAGCAAAATGAGACTAAGTCACTACGTAGTTCTCTAGAGTTAATGAAATAACTTTTTTTCCCAACAGTCTTGTGGTAGGTAGTACAGAAGTTACCATCTCTATTTCACAGATGAGTAAACTATAGTTCAACAAGCATTTATTAAGAACCTACTATGTGCCCGGCCATAGTTAGTAAGTGGAAAACTAGTCATTCAAACTCAAGCCTTCTGACACTAGTGCCCTTTCTAGTTTAGCACATCATATAATGTCCAATCCCTTTCCCACATTACTGCACTGCAAATATTTGAGGAACATGATTATCTTGTCTGCTAAGTCATCTCTCAGTAGGATTAATATCTCTGGTGCCTTCAACCATTCTCATATATCATGATCTGAGTCCCCTTACCCATCTGTACACATTCTTGCATGTCAATGGATTGCTTAAAATGTGAAGTTCAGATATTCAGGCCTAAAATAATTTGGGGAGTGGGGTTGGAATAAAGAATCAAAACTTTATTTTTTAAATATAAATTTAAATATAAAAACCTTATTTTTAAATATAAACATAAATATATTTATAAATATTTATATTTATATTTATAAAAAATATATTTTTTTAAATATTCAAAATTTTCATCCCAAGAATTACTGTTAGATCTATGCCAGGTCAACTCGTCTCTTTTGCCATCTGTCTTTCTCTCATCACCTCACACTCACTTCAAAAGAAAGTATCAAAAGAGAGTACAAACAAAAAGAGAAGAATCCCAGCCAAAGCTGAAATAGGAATATATCAGAGAAAAATTGCTATGGAAACAGAGGGAGGTAACGAACCCTGGAAGAAACTGGGGAGAGAGAGAGAACTGTATTTTTTCAATAAATTATTAAAAAGGATAAAAGGTCATGTTTTAAAATGTAGACTATGAAGAATGGATAAATGAGAGATTGAATGGCAAGTTAGAAGAGTAATTTGTGGCTTAGTGCTAATAAATCTCATACAGTGTACTATGCCCACTTGGGCAAGGCAGCTCCTTCCTTCCTACTTTCTTTCCTTCCTTCCTTCCTTCCTTCCTTCCTCTCCCTCCCTCTTCTCATTCCCTTTTCTCCCTACTTCCTTCCTCTCCCTCCCTCTCCTCATTCCCTTTTCTCCCTACTTCCTTCCTCTCCCTCCCTCTCCTCATTCCCTTTTCTCCCTACTTCCTTCCTCTCCCTCCCTCTCCTCATTCCCTTTTCTCCCTACTTCCTTCCTCTCCCTCCCTCTCCTCATTCCCTTTCTCCCTACTTCCTCTCCCTCCCTCTCCTCATTCCCTTTTCTCCCTACTTCTTCCTCTCCCTCCCTCTCCTCATTCCCTTTTCTCCTACTTCCTTCCTCTCCCTCCCTCTCCTCATTCCCTTTTCTCCCTACTTCCTTCCTCTCCCTCCCTCTCCTCATTCCCTTTTCTCCCTACTTCCTTCCTCTCCCTCTGTCCACATAAGGAATCATACCCTTACCTCTGGGTGCTCTGCCCAAAGAAATACAAATTTTGATTGCTGAGGCCTCACGAGATATCTTGGGGTTTACTGGCTCAGAGGGAGTGTAAACAGCAATTGTTTCTGTTTTGGCCAGAAATCCTGAGAGTCTTTCCCTCCCAGATTGATTTTTTTTTTAATTAGGTGGAAGAGGCCATTTTCTGCCTCATTTCTTACCTAGCCTTAATCACTGAATGGACATTGCCTCAGGCAAACTGAGACCTAGGAGAGACGTTAGCTTAAAAAGGCCAAGGTCTTCCATACATCCCAGTCCATCTCCAGTTATTCTGATCTATATTTTGCCATTGGACCCAGATGGCTCCAGAGGAAAGAGTGAAGCCGGTGGCTTTGCACAGTCCTACCTCACTTAAATCCAATTCCCTTGCAAGTCATGACATCACCTTCGTGATATCATGGTCCTTTTTGAGAAGGAAGGACAAATAACAATGAAAACCAAATTGAAAAATTCAGTCTTAATTGTTTGCATGATTCTGGTATTTTTATTACAATTGTCACAGTAATTTTTAAAATGTTATTGTTGTCTTTTGTTCTTACATCACCTTCATTTCCAAATATATCCTTTCTCCCTCCCCTATAAGTCATCCCCCCGTAACATAGGCAGCTAGGTGGCACAGTGGATAGAACACTGGACCTGGAGTCTAGAAAGACCTGAGTTCAAATCCAGTCTCAGACACTTATTAGCTGTGTGACCTTGAGCATGTCAATTAACTACTATTTGTCTGTTTCCTCAACTGTAAAATGAGGATAATAACAACACCTACCTCCCAAGGTGGTTGTACTCCCCATTGACATTTCCAGGCCTTCCCTCTATTTCCATCACTCAATAATCTCTCTTCCTTTGAAATTTTTGCTAGTCATATCTACCACCCAATCAAAATCCTGGTAGATGTTGTCTATATACCCCCAGATCACTCCCCTTCTTCCTTCAATGAGTTTAGTACATGACTCAGTTTTTCTCTTCCCCCCAGCTTTTGCCCTCATACTAAAGAACTTCAACATAAATATTCGCTCTCCCTCAAACACCCCAAACACTCAGTTCCTAAATCTACTCACTTCCCATGAGCTGCTCCTCCACCCCACCTC